ACTGTGGTTGAGGTTGCCAGTGTAGTTAAAAAGCTCAATGGTAACATGGCTCTGGAGGTGGATGAGATTCACCCTGATTTCCTAAAGGCTCTGGATGTTGTGGGGCTGTCTTGGTTGACATGCCTTTGCAATATCACATGAACATCTGGGGCAGTGCCACTGGATTGGCAGAGGTGGTTCCCCTCTTCAAAAAGGGGTACTGGAGGGTGTGCTCCAATTATAGGGGCATCATTCTCCTTAGCATCCCTGGTAAGGTCTATTCATGGATACTGGAGAAGCGAGTCTGATCGTTGGTCGAACCTCAGATCCAGGAGGAACAATGCAGATTCCATTCTGGCCATGGACACTGGACCAGCTCTTTACCCTCACTAGGGTCCTCAAGGGGTCATGGGAGTTTGCCCAACCAGTCTACATGTGTTTTGTGGACTTGGAGAAGGATTTTGACCATGTTCCTTGGGGTACACCATGGGGGGGGGGGGGGGGGGGCTCTGTGAGTATGGGATTGAGGGCCCGTTGTTGTGGGCTGTTCAGTCCCTATATAAGCGGTGCAAGAGTTTGGTTCACATTACTGGTAGTAAGTTGGACCCCTTCAGGGTGGAAGTTGGACTCCACCAGGGCTGCCTATCATCATTGATTCTGTTCATAACTTTTATTGACAGAATTTCTTGGTGCAGCCAGCTGGTGAAGGGATTCTGGTTCAGTGGCCTCAGGATTCAAGCTCTGTTCTTTGCAGATGATGAGGTCCTGTTGACATCATTGTGCCATGATCTTCAGCTCTCACTGGAGCAGTTCGCAGCCAAGTGTGAAGCGGCTGGGATGAGAATCAGCACCTCCAAATCTGAGGCCATGGTCCTCAACCAGAAAAGGGTGGATTGCTCTCTTCAGATCAAGGGTGAGGTTCTGCCTCAAGTGGAGGAGTTCAAGTACTGTATCTTGGGGTTTTGCTCACTAGTGAGGGAAGAAGGGAATGTGAGATTGGCAGACGGATTGGTGCAGCGTCTGCAGTATTGTAGACTCTGTACCGGTCCGTTGTGGTGAAGAGGGAGCTGAGCTGTAAAGCGAAGCTCTCTGTTTACTGGTCAGTCTATGTTCCTACCCTCACCTATGATCATGAGCTCTGGGTAGTGACCGAAAGAATTAGATCGCAGATACAGGTGGTTGAAATGAGTTTCCTCCGTAGGGTGGCTGGACTCTCCCTTAGATATAAGGTGAGAAGTTCAAGTATCCAGGAGTGTCTTGGAGTAGAACAGGTGCTCCTCCACATCGAGGGGAGCCAATTGAGGTGATTCTGGCATCTGGTAAGGATGCCCCCTGGGCGCAACCCTAGGGAGGTGCTTCAGGTATGTCTGACTGGGAGGAGACCCCGGGGAAGACCCAGGACACGCTGAAGAGACTATGTCACTTGGTTGGTCTGGGAACACCTTGGGGTTTCCCCAGAAGAGCTAGAAGAGGTGGCTGTGGAAAGAGATGTCTTGGCCTCCCCGCTCAAGCAGCTGCCCCCGCAACCTGACTTCAGAACAAGCGGAAGAAAATGGATGGATATTTGTCTGTCCTCTTTGTCTTAATGTTGGCTGATAAGGCAGAAATGCCTCACTAAATGCCTCAGGTAACACCCTGAGCTACACTCCCTCCACCATGACAACTGTCTTTCTTGTTTGTTTGTCTGAGGATAGGCTAAAAAAAAAAAGCTGACCCTGGGTTACATTTCCTCATGGGAGAAGCGATCTAACCATCCATCCATCCATCCATTATCTTTTACCCGCTTCTTCCATTTTGGGTCATGGGGGTCGCCAGTACCCATGTCCAGCAATCACTGTGCGAGGGGCAGGGTACACCCTGGACAGGTCCCAAGTCCATCACAGGGACACACAGAGACAAACACCATTCACTCTCTCACTCACACCTAGGGACAATTTAGAGTTACCAATCATCCTAACATGCATGTTTTTGTTCTGTGGGAAGAAACCAGAGTACACGGAGAAAACCCACGCATGCATTGAGAAAACATGCAAACTCCACCCAGAAAGGCCCTCGGACCGGGATTTGAACCAGGGACCTGCTTGCTGTGAGGCGGCAGCTCTACCAGTTGCGCCACCGTGCTGCCCGCGATCTAACCATTGACACAAAATATTTGATAATGTTCTTAAGATAGAATAGAATAGAATAGAATAGAAACAATTCCTGAATGTTGTTCATACTGTGTTAATGCTACATGTTTGTCTCTTGACCCTACAACTACCATACCATACCATTTTATTTATAGAGCACTTAAAACAGCGACAATGCCAACCAAAGTGCTGTACAGACAGAAAAACAGGCAACACACAAAGCAAAATACAAAATGAGGTAAATCAGAATAATAAATAATAATAAATAAATAAAACTAGGTAACGTTCTCTTAAAGTTAGCTTAGGCTAAGACTGTGGTTAGGATGTGTGAGAGAAGTGGAGCGAGCCCTATTCACACAAGGAGAGCTGTTGATCAGGATACTTTTTGTTGTGCCATTAACTCTAAAATAGTTATTGAATCAAGTGTTATGTTACTTATGTATGTAAAACTAGATATTAAACAACCCGTTAAAATACACCAAAATGCAGGAAATAGCATCTACTTTATTCAATTTTTTCTGGGGGTGGACCCCCAGCCCCCCCACCAGTGTGTCCCTCCTTTTCACATTAAAAATGCTTCTGATGTCAATGGTCACGGCATTGTTCAAGCCAAGAGTCATTGTCAGCATTGGGGGGTAAAGCGCCCCTAAAGTTCGTAGAATCATCCCTGATGTAAGTTTATAATTACAGGATTTTAATAATAATTGGTAGAGCATCCATCATCAATCTAAAGTGGGGTAATCTGAGATATGAAACTCTGGGGCTGAAAATGAGTCCCACTCTGGCCTTGATCCTAATTGACAGTAAACTAACACAAGATTGTATAAAACATTCTAAACATCATCTGCAATTGAATTGTACATTTTTGTTTGTTACTTATTAATAATTAAAATGTTTGTGTTTTAACATTCACACCTGAGTCCACATTAATATTCATATTAATTTTAATATAATCCCTCTGGGATTAATAAAATATTTTTGAATTGAATTGAATTGGTATCTTTCCTCATGCAGAACTCCCCATAAACCTTCTGGTTTGCCTTTTTTGCCTCTCTGTTTGCACTACTCTTCATCTCCTTATATTTCTGGCTCTCTTCAGTGCTCTCACTATCCAACTTCTTCCTGGCTAAATTCTTCCTCTGAATATCTTCCTGCACTTCACTGTTTCACCACCAGGTTATCTTATCTTCTTTCTGTCAAGTTGACAGTACCTTCTCACCTGTCTTTAATGTCTAACATTCTTCCTTACTTATCATCCATGATTTGGTCTTTTTCTCTTATTTTACACTATTTCACCACAGCAGCCATCCGGCACACCATCAGCCAAAGCTGACTGACCACATTCACCTCTACCACAAACCTACAGTCACCAATTTTCCTCATTACCTCTACTACACAGAAATGGTTTACCTGCATCATCCTGTTTCTACTCCTATAGGCCATCACATATTCCTTCCCCATTTGAACAGACAAGTTGACTAAAGCAATTTCATTCCTCTTGATAAAATCCATCACCATCTCTCCTTCCTGGTTCTGTTTCTTGACATGGTGAAGGAGGTAGGGTGTCGTTTGGACCTACTCGCTTGGAAACTGGACAAGAGATATACAGGGTTGTGCACGTTTGGTTGGTTTAGAAATATTGTTTGTAATTCAGCTTACAATACATCTTATGAAAAATTAAATGGAATTGGCGATATATAAATTAACTGAAAGGAATTCAGTTGAATTCAATATCAGGTATTGAAAATTATTACATATGCCTTTAAAACAACAACCACAGGATGATTACTACTAGAAGAAATGTTAAGTAAGATTTAAAATATTAGGTAAATCTAAAAGGTCTTGAAGAAAACCATCAAATCCAGGAAGTGATAAAGCCCTGCAGCAGATCAGACTGGGGAAGCATTCATTGTTCCAGAGTTTGGAGTGAAAGTAGCAGAGAGGAGAAGTGACAAATTATCATTGCACAATAGAAAAATGATTTCAATACTCATTTTTCAATGGATTAAAAAGAAAATCAACCAGTAAGATCAAAATTTGTTTCAGATACCAGTTTATCTTTTTTAATATAAAAAATAATGTTTCACAATTCAGACCAGGTATCTTGATTGAAATATCACAACAGCAAAATAATGTGTTTAGCAGTTATATTTGTATGGATGCCAGTTTATATTCACATAAGAAGAAAAAAATAGCAGACAAAGTTTCAGAAGAGGCTAGAAACATATTAGCTGATACAGATATAAAATTTAGTTGAACCAAAGTAAAAATCATTAAAAAAAACTGAAAATGATGGAAAGATGGAAAAAACAATAATAAAAAAGATTATGTCAATGGGTTATTAGCATTCAATGGAAAACAGTGGAGATTAGGAGAAGTGGAAGAAACAGGAGAAGAACATGCTCACATCCCATCTCAAAAAAGGAAGCACATGAATAAATAAAACATAAATGATATTAGGGAAACATTAAAGGTAAATGTAACCTGTGGAAAATATGATAGAGCATATTTAAACATACTGCCAAAAAACAGACATGAAAATACATTCAACTGATTGACATTCTCACTAAAATGAAAATGAGTTTACATCCTATTGAATAATTACAGTAAAATTTAAAAATAAATTATACGGATTTAGTGCATTATCTTAAACAGATAATTTGTTTGATAGAACATGTGGGTTTGTTTTATTTATTTATATATTTGCATCACTCCAGTTCACACTTTTTACCACTCGGTTGTGGTAATGCACTACATTTTTGTTTCACAACTGCAAAAGAAACCTGAAGAAGTAGAACACATTTTTCAAGCGAGAACCAATCAAAGCTGATGGGCTACAGCTGTAAAACTGGGAGAATAGGGTTTATAAACCTCAAATGCTGTCCTCTTCTCACAGTTAGTGTCAAGAACAATGGGAGGCAGCTGGTTCTTGGTAATTTCTCTAGTGGCAGTGTGGCTCAACAAAGGTTTGTGTTTGGTTCCTTTTGAATTGTGTAGTGATTTTATTTTTTTCTTGTTAAATTTTGGACTTGTGTGTAAAATAAGCATGAAAAACTATTGATTTTTTTTTTTTTTAACCCATCCAAAAAGTAATTTGCCAGGAATTAAAAAAAAAAAAAAAATGCTTTTCTTTAGCAATATTTAACAGGCATCTGAAAAAACCCTTGAACTAGTAATGTGTTAATGCTCAAATACTTTTGAGGTACTTTGATTCTCTGATATGCTGCTTGACCACCAAAAGCACATAGACAAATAAAATGCACTTTATTTCTAAAATGAGAAAGCTTCTGAATAAGTTACTTTGTCCACAGGGTCATGTTTGCCAATTGATGCAAACTATGAATGGGCTGATCAGAGAGAAGGTAAGGTTTTTATTTTTTTTACTTTGTATATAATATCGACGGTGTACTAATTTAGAGTAATATGTCTATTTTCACAGTTCCGTTAAATGGAAAAGCTCTGAAACATGAACATGGCTCTGCATTTCTCCAGGCTTTGGATTCCAAGTTGAGCATACTAGCTAAAGGTAAACTTCTGTGACTGTCTTGTTTTTGTTTTGTTTTTTTTGACCAAATGGGCATAAATTCATATTTAAACTGTGAAGGAAAGGAAAAATTGACTAAAATATATCTGTACCTAGAAGCCAAAGAAGTGGGGATTGTGACTGCAGGCGACGAAGCCCACAACGTGACTGCAGGCGACGAAGC